CTAATTCTTGCACTATATGGGTCCCCTAACTCTTGCACAATACAAACCTCCTAACTCTTGCACTATATGGGTCCTCTTGCACTATATGGGTCCCCTAACTCTTGCACTATATAGGTCCCCTAACTCTTGCACTATACAAACCTCCTAATTCTTGCACTATATGGGTCCCTTAACTCTTGCACTATACAAACCTCCTAATTCTTGCACTATATGGGTCCCCTAACTCTTGCACTATATAGGTCACCTAACTCTTGCACTATACAAACCTCCTAATTCTTGCACTATATGGGTCCCCTGACTCTTGCACTATATGGGTCCCCTAACTCTTGCACAATACAAACCTCCTAACTCTTGCACTATATGGGTCCTCTTGCACTATATGGGTCCCCTAACTATTGCACTATATAGGTCCCCTAACTCTTGCACTATACAAACCTCCTAATTCTTGCACTATATGGGTCCCCTAACTCTTGCACTATACAAATCTCCTAATTCTTGCACTATATGGGTCCCCTAACTCTTGCACTATATGGGTCCCCTAACTCTTGCACTATATGGGTCCCCTAACTCTTGCACAAAATAGACCCCTAACTCTTGCACTATATAGGTCCCCTAACTCTTGCACTATATGGGTCCCCTAACTCTTGCTCTATATGGGTCCCCTAACTCTTACACTATATGGGTCCCCTAACTCTTGCACTATATGGGTCCCCTAACTCTTACACTATATGGGTCCCCTAACTCTTGCACTATACAGACCTCCTAATTCTTGCACTATATGGGACCCCTAACTCTTGCTCTATATCAGTATATGGGTCCCCTAACTCTTGCTCTATATGGGTCCCCTAACTCATACACTATATGAGTCCCCTAACTCTTGCACTATACAGACCTCCTAATTCTTGCACTATATGGGACCCCTAACTCTTGCACTATACAGACCTCCTAATTCTTGCACTATATAAATCCCCTAACTCTTGCACTATACAAACCTCCTAATTCTTGCACTATATGGGTCCCCTAACTCTTGCACTATACAGACTCCCTAATTCTTGCACTATATAGGTTCCCTAACTCTTGCACTATACAAATCTCCTAATTCTTGCACTATATGGGTCCCCTAACTCTTGCACTATATGGGTCCCCTAACTCTTGCACAAAATAGACCCCTAACTCTTGCACTATATGGGTCTCCTAACCCCTGCACTATAAAGACCCCCTAACCCCTGCACTATAAAGACCCCCTAACTCTTGCACAAAATAGACCCCTAACTCTTGCCCTATATGGACCCTCTAACTCTTGCACTATACAAACCTCCTAATTCTTGCACTATATGGGTCCCCTAACTCTTGAACAATATAGACCTCTAACTCTTGCACTATATGTGTCTTCTAACCCCTGCACTATAAAGACCCCCTAACCCCTGCACAATATAGACCCCTAACTCTTGCACTATATGGGTCCCCTAACTCTTGCATTATATGGACCCTCTAACTCTTGCACTATATGGACCCTCTAACTCTTGCACTATACAAACCTCCTAATTCTTGCACTATATGGGTCCCCTGACTCTTGCACTATACAAACCTCCTAATTCTTGCACTATATGGGACCCCTGACTCTTGCACTATATAGGTCCCCTAACTCTTGCAACTATATGGGTCCCCTAACTATTGCACTATATGCATCTCCTAACCCCTGCACTATAAAGACCCCCTAACCCCTGCACTATAAAGACCCCTTAACACTTGCACAATATAGACCCCTAACTCTTGCACTATATGGGTCCCCTAACTCTTGCACAAAATAAACCCCTAACCCCTGCACTATAAAGACCCCCCTAACTCTTGCACAATATAGACCCCTAACTCTTGCACTATATGGGTCCCCTAACTCTTGCACAAAATAGACCCCTAACTCTTGCACTATACAAACCTCCTAATTCTTGCACTATATGGGTCCCCTAACTCTTGTACTATAAAGACCCCCCTAACTCTTGCACAATATAGACCCCTAACTCTTGCACTATATGCGTCTTCTAACCCCTGCACTATAAAGACCCCCTAACCCCTGCACTATAAAGACCCCTTAACACTTGCACAATATAGACTCCTAACTCTTGCACTATATGGGTCCCCTAACTCTCGCACAAAATAGACCCCTAACTCTTGCACTATATGGGTCCCCTAACTCTTGCACAAAATAGACCCCTAACCCCTGCACTATAAAGACCCCCTAACTCTTGCACAATATAGACCCCTAACTCTTGCACTATATGGGTCCCCTAACTCTTGCACAAAATAGACCCCTAACTCTTGCACTATATGGACCCCCTAACTCTTGCACTATATGGACCCTCTAACTCTTGCACTATACAAACCTCCTAATTCTTGCACTATATGGGTCCCCTAACCCCTGCACTATAAAGATCCCCTAACCCCTGCACTATAAAGACCCCTTAACACTTGCACAATATAGACCCCTAACTCTTGCACTATATGGGTCCCCTAACTCTTGCACAAAATAGACCCCTAACTCTTGCACTATATGGACCTCCTAACTCTTGCAATATATGGACCCCAAACTCTTGCACTATACAAACCTCCTAATTCTTGCACTATATGGTCCCCTAACTCTTGCACTATACAAATCTCCTAATTCTTGCACTATATGGGTCCCTTAACTCTTGCACAATATATACCCCTAACTCTTGCACTATATGGGTCCCCTAACTCTTGCACAAAATAGACCCCTAACTCTTGCACTATATGCATCTCCTAACCCCTGCACTATAAAGACCCCCTAACCCCTGCACTATAAAGACCCCCTAACTCTTGCACAGTATAGACCCCTAACTCTTGCACTATATGGGTCCCCTAACTCTTGCACAAAATAGACCCCTAACTTTTGCACTATATGGGTCCCCTAACTCTTGCACTATACAGACTTCCTAATTCTTGCACTATATGGGTCCCCTAACTCTTGCACTATATGCGTCTCCTAACCTCTCCACTATAAAGACCCCTAACTTTTACACTGTATGGGTCCCCTAACTCTTACACTGTATGGGTCCCCTAACTTTTGAGACCCCCCAACCTTTGCAATATATGGACCCCAAACTCTTGCACTATACAAACCTCCTAATTCTTGCACTATATGGGTCCCCTAACTCTTGCACAATATAGACCCCTAACTCTTGCACGATATGGGTCCCTAACTCTTGCACAAAATAGACCCCTAACTCTTGCACTATATGCGTCTCCTAACCCCTGCATTATAAAGACCCCTTAACCCCTGCACTATAAAGACCCCTTAACACTTGCACAATATAGACCCCTAACTCTTGCACTATATGGGTCCCCTAACTCTTGCACAAAATAGACCCCTAACTCTTGCACTATATGGACCCCCTAACTCTTGCACTATATAGACCCCCTAACTCTTGCACTATATGGACCCCAAACTCTTGCACTATATGAACCCCTGACTGACACGATATTATTTTTGGTAATCTTATGCATCATAAGCCATAATATTGAAAGCATGAAGGAAATAACAACCTCCCTGAGTGACTCACCTTTTAAATATTCGTCTAACATATCAATTACTGCTTGTCTGTGTTCTCTGACTTGTGGTAAAACAGTATCATTCTCAACTACAGAGTACAAATCACACAGTCATTTTAGTTATACAATTGGATTCAGAACACAATATATTGATTTGATTCTTGCCTTGTTGTCGCTGCCATGCACACAATGAATTTGTCAAACCAGTCTTTTTTTATACTAATAATTGGTTGTCAAGTATGAAATGCCACATAGTGTCTAACAGAGGGCACAAATTGAATATTAAATCACAAACACTGAAATGTTCATATTTATATAAATCAGTTATAAATATTCACCTTGAATTCTTTTTTATGATATAATATGCATAAAATGACATTTTACCATAATACTATACCAAGACCATAATGAAAACACATTTGTCACTGAAATTCAACTAAAAACAAGCCATGCATGGCACAGTCCCTGTTAGTTATTAAATTTAAGACATATAGTTTTGTTTATAGTTATATGGTCAAAACATAAACATGTCAGAGATATTAATCCAGAAGATGATGCTTGATTATGATGATTTTTTTACATTAAAATGATTGACATCTTGTATCTGATCGTCAAACAAGTACTTGTCCATATTGAGAAATATTGTTCTGGAACAGCATTAATTAAAACAAACTGGCCACCAGTCGGCCATTTTTCATAAATCTATATATCTATAACACGATGTATAACAAATATATAAAATTTGAACATAATCAGTTAAAGCATATCAGAGATATGGCTCTAGAAGCTTAAACAAAATGGCCACCAGTCGGCCATTTTAAATCGGATCTGAAAAATAAATTGATGTGCATCAAGGTCCCATAATGTACCCAGTTTAAACAAAATCCATCCATAAATGCTTGATTTTGATGCTTTTGTTAGCACACAAATGGCCAACATTCGGCCATCTTGAATCAGATCGTGAATCAAATTGATGTGCATACATGTAAGTATAATATTATATATGATATATGTGTGAAAATTCATTGAGATTGGTCTAGGACACATGGACGCACAAAGGTCAAAACATCAGTCCCTGTTTTCGGACTGTGTCTGAACAGGGACTAATAATTTGTAATAATTCTAAACATGAACAAGTATATTGTAAGATACTATATATCACTTTTCACCATACATCATTGACCATATATTGAGATATGTGTTTGCTATAGGAAACTATGGTAAAATGTCCTATAACAGATGAAACATGCATTTTTTACTCATACATTTATTTAAACACAGTAACCCCATATTTTTATTTCATTTTCTTTATCACTGTTAAATGAAATGTCACATACGTAAAAACGATATAAAATGGTATTTTTAATTCGAGTAGCATTCTACCTCAATTTACTATGATGTCAATACTGTTGCTGGATTCGTCAATTGAAATTCTAACAATCATTTTAAATTATATTTGTGAAATGTGTATAACAAGTATATATTTTATTTGTAATTTAACAGACAACTGGGCAATAACATGATTTGTCATGATGGTTTGTCAGCATCAGAACCTTGGACCAGCACAATGTTCAACTATTGCTACTTCGATTTTTTACTAAAGAGATGATTCAGTGAAAATAAAATTTAGTAAATATGCCTTTTTTTCTATATTTTACATTCAACTAAGTGAAAATAAATCTCATACAAAATACCAAAAAATTCTTGTCAGCGTAAATAAATCTAAAATTAGGCATTTCGCAGAACCTTAACATAAATTAATAAAATGAAGTTCTGAATATATATAGACAAAAATAAATTGTAATCTTACCATCATTTTTAAAAGCTTTAATTGTCTCAGCACATGTCCTCATAAATATGTGAGCATCTGTATCAATCTGATCCCTTTCACTGTCAGTCATACGAGACACTCCCAATGACAAATGACTGTAATCAATGTACAAATGTACACAGCAATTCAATTACAATTAGAACACTATCTCAAAATTAGCTTAGGACATTTTGTCCAAAATGGCAACTAGCGCCATTGACATTTTTTAATGACTTGCCATGTTTTGAAATTGGTTAATTGCTGTTCAATGAATTATTGCATATACATAAGAGTTCATTGACAGATATCAGATATAAATGGTATATCACAACATCAGTAAGTGATAAGTTATCTAATTGATACAATCAACTGTTAGAACTGGCGGCAAAGTCGCCTATCAGTTCTTCTAACTATGGAATATAGGATGATACTTAGGTACTGTTATGATCCGAGTTGAAGTTACTGACAAGTCAATAACCAGATGTTAGATAACTTTTAGTTATCATAACAGTACGGTAGTATCATCCTATATGACATAATTTGTCATATCAGAGAACAAGTCATATATTTTATCTTCAAAAAGGCAAGCAGTAAAAAATCTAAAAATATTCAGGCACTTTAATTCTTTTGTTATCATGAAGTGGTAGCATTAAGATAATATACTCATACAAAAGCTGAATTTATAAACTCAGTTTGACAAAGTATGTTATATATGTGTACAAACATAATAATACATATACATGCCATGATCCACAACATACATGTAACTCCATCTAAATTTAGAGTGAATTCTTTGTTAATATTACTATTATTAAAGGGGAACCGATACTATAAATAAGGGTCAAGATGGCCACCGTATTAGTATGCTAATCCGAACCAAGCCGCTAACATCGTGGCGGGAGCTCCGTGAAATGTGCCATTTACGATGTTTGGAGATCAAGCTGTGGTTCCAAATACATATCCATGGGGGCATGAATATGTACACTAGCGATTACACTCGTCTGGTTGGGCTTTTGGTGTATAAATGTTGTTATTTTCGGTCGAAACGTGCCGCGACCAGTGAAAATCACGAGTTTAAAAGGCTAATGTATGCAAAATTCCTGTCAATCACAGTTTGAGTAAACGAAAATGTAAATCCCCTAGATGTTTATTCAATCTACAAAGCTTGTTGGTTTACAAACAGCATTATCGTTACGTAGTTTGTCTATGTCTAACCATCGGTAACACTGGGACATGACGATGTAAGACAGTAAACACTGTCAATAGCATTAGGTTACAGGCTTTCGTATATCCATTGCAATAAATTAAATGTAGAAGTAGAAATCATTCGCGTGGTTTTAATTCCGCGTTGAGTCCACAAGCGCGAAAATAAAAGCACGCAAAAATTTTACCTTGGAATGTAAACACAATACCCAAGTCAAAACAACACTCACTCCTGCCCCACAATCTTACGAATTTTACCGTAGTCATTGACGCCTATTCAAGACTACGATGTTTATTGTGGTTAGCATGAATGGGTAAAGCTTCGCTTCGACAATTAGCTGTTATCACCGTAAAAATGTTAAATTAGTCTTCAAACGGTCAGTTTTTTATCATCAAAAACAACTAATGTTTTGATTTAAAAAAAACATTCCGTCTTCCCATCAAAACCAGAGGTAAAAGATCGTGCTGGAACATCGGCAAATCTCCTCTGTTATGGTAATTTGAACACGTTGGCATCACCGAGTATTTTGATTGGCTGATTAGCGATTTGACCTATAAGATGTCGAGCATTTGCATGCGACCAGAATCATTCGTTTACGATGAAACTAAATTGAAATTTACTTGCATTTCAGAACAATTCAACAAGTTTACTTTTTGTATTTGTTAATAATCACTACCGTGTAATACTAATAATTTTGAAACGCAGCATGGTCGGATTGCGCTACCGTGATTATTTGCTACTAAGCAATGCAGCGTTCGTTTTTTAAAAACTTTTTTAGGAATGCAAGAACGATGTTGGTTACTACTATGTGGACATTTTTCTTTTGATCGTACGACAAAGACTTGTGTTTTCTAAGGGATGAAACTTTTTGTATAACTTTCTAGACAGTCTGGAAAAAGGAAGGGGTACAGTGAATAAGTGTCAGACTGCAATGAGCTGCAAATGGTAGTTGTGTAATACTGGTAGGCGTGCAGGAAATAACCGTTCTGTGTTAGAGCATGGTTAGAGTTTCCAAGTTTCGGATATCAACAAGACATTGGCCTGACTGCTTGGTATGGTGTTACCCTTTGTTTTATTTTTCGCGAAATACTTTGACAGCTCAAAACCACAAAATCAGATGTTTCCACAGCACACACCATAGAGTACATGACGTAAATACGCCATGCTTGAAAAGCATGAACAACCAGGTTTTGGCATAAGAAAATAAATCAGTTTTTGTTTCTGTATTTGACTGTCGGACGAAACGGCACCCAGACAACACGTCACAGACAGTTCCAATTCATATCTTTTACGATTGATCGTTTTCGTTCATGCGTCGCATATATGTCCAGAAAATTTAATCGAGTGTATGTGTCTATTTATATTCTATTTTTGGATTCTTATTTATAATAAATACAACGCTGCAGAATGGTTGTTAAAATTGAGTCTACGGTAAAATTGTTTTGACAGGACGCTCTTCTCCCCCTCACCGCTCATTTGATTTTGACTGTAAAGTCAACCCGACGTTCACCCACTAGATCACAAGAACTCAAATCTCACACGAGATACAAGCCGGTACCACCCGTGCACATTTTGATTTTCCACACGAGTGTCGTAAACAGGTTACAAGATAAGCCTGTGATGTCGCGGCGACTTTTCTTTACTAATGATTTTGATAACCTGTACTTATAATACATGTATACAGTTTTCACACTTGTTATATTAGCAGTCTGTAGGAGTAGTATGTAGAATGTGCATAGGAAGTTTCGTTCTCAGGTTTACTGTATACGAGATCAGTACCGTCAATAGACCGACGCAACTGAAACAGACAAATAAACTTGAGTCGGCGGATTTTCTTCGCGACCGTTTAGCAACAATCTGGTCGTGTGTATCCGGTGGACTGCCGCCTTAAATTAGTTTGCGTCATATTTTTCCAACTATGTATAAATTACCGAGTGCGCGATGTTTCAAATCATGGCACATGAAGACTGCTCTGTATTTGTTTGAAATTCAATTGCTATGTTATATTTAAACAAGCGAATTGTAATCCGTTCTTAGGCAGTTTATATCAGTTGTTGTTTTGTGGGATTAGCGGTACAGGGGGAAAGATAAGCATTCATTTACTCAGTGGACAGAGGCGGAGTTAATTACCCATGAGCACTTGGTGCAATCCAAGGGATTGAGCGGTTCCCCTTTAAATGAGGGAAATATTTGGAAATAAAACTGAGAATTTACCTGCTTGCATTGATATATGCTTTTCTGTGTTCTACCAAAAAGTCTCTCAATTTGGTAATGCTATTCACCTGTAAAAAATATTAACAATGCTGCTGTCAAAATTTTTTGTATAATTGATATTTTAACACCATTATTCCACAAATGACAAGCAATAAAAAAGTTATTCGGAAAATGTCAATTATATATTAGAAAATTCAATCAAAATATGTTAGCATTACATAAAATTTTGTTTATAATTTAGGTAGTTTTGGTTTGGAGAAACATTATTTATTAATTAAGTATTAATTCTTACAAAAAAATTGCGACATGTACATGATATCTTCAGTTTTTCATTGATTTTTGGCAGAAAAAGTTGCATACTGTCACTGTAATACCATTTAACACATAGCTATTATTGCAGAAAATACTGTGTTAAAATCTTAGTGTAAGCAAATTAAATACACAAGTAATATAAACTATGGTTAAATTTGGCTAACATCAATCTTGTATATACTAGTAACACACAATAGTGAATATTTCTATCTACTCTATCTACATGTAAAATTGACATTTTTTGCAATTCCAATTCCTTGACCCTTGCCTTTTATTACCATTTTTTTCACTAAATTGATTACCTAACACCACACATTTTGGTTTCCCAGTCACCTATGAATAATTAACCTATGCTGGTCTTTTGGATCAGACGGTTTATTTTGATACACGACAATCACAAAATGTAAACAATTCCTTATTTTCAAGTCCCAAAAATTGATACTGGTGTTGATATTAGTAAATGGTTAGACACAACAAATATGGCATAGCAGACACAGGACTCATGAGAATCACAGGTAGTCCCCAGATGTATTGATATGAGTCAATATACAATATTGAAGACATTGGTACAGATTTGTAAACCAAATTCACATCACAATCTTCTGCTTTTGAACAATCTGCTGAATTTTTGTAGGAAAACACAGTATACAAAAACAGGATATAACGATAAGTTGTAAATAATTTGATACTAATTCAGCATAAATATAAGAGGTTCCCAATTCAAAAACTGGGGTTTTGAAATGAATAATCTGGAGAGAAAAATAAAAAAAATGCACATATAATCTAGAAAAATACAATATGAATGTCAGTGAATATAATATTTGCAAATTATTGCAGTCCCCATCTGCAAAAAGTGCAAATGCAAACGTAGTACACAGGCAAAGCAGACAAAATTATCACCAGTAATTTTGGACTTTGATTTAAAATGGGATTCAATTTTGTGATACTGTGAAACTGCCATCATTCGATGAAAGTATACCTGACTTGTGGAGGGAAATTTCAAAGCCAATTTAATTTGAGAAAATTGTATTAAAACAAATAGTTTTAAATATTATCTGGTTACGTCAAATGGAAATTAATTTATAATTCCATATTGTATTAAAAATGAATTATACTATTAGATATTACTCACCACTTCCTTGGACTTTGTCACAAATTCACTTTTCTGTCTTGAGTGTGGTAATATACTATTCTTGGCATTTTCTTGATTTATACCCAGTGTTTTACTGCGTATTTTAACTGTTTTTAAAGACGCCTTCCACAGAGGGGTGATGTCAGACATGTTGTTATTTTTCTATTTGACCACCTAACTTAACAATAATTATTATAGTGCTGCCTTTACGTATTTATTGTGGTATTGTTATGAAGATGTAAACAGATTTTCAATAAAGTAATAATTTACTTACCTAATTTATCTTTTGTATATTTATGTAAGTAATAATGTAATTATGCTATAAACGGATCATTTAGAAAATATATTATAGGAATAATTAGTATATGCTAGAAGCGCTAATTGAGGGCGCTGTTTCAATATGGCGAGGACTATTGGCAATGTTCTCTCAGTCTCACTTTTTTGGCCATATCTGTTAGTTTTATTCGACTGGGTGGAATTCTCACTCTCTAACGAGGTTCCTGTAGTTGGACCGTGTTGGAACGTTTCTTGTGGCGATAGTTATGATCCGTATTCTCCGCTAATTCGTTGTGATTATCTGTAAGTACCATACGTGTACATGTATTTCGTACATTTGTACCAATGATTTGTGTATGTGGGTCCCATACATGTACCATTAATATAATAACAACATTGCCTCCTTGTAATTAACTAAATAGAATGGTTAATTTACTTTCTGTATTATATTTTTGGCAAAAAAATAAAAGTGTCCCCCATCGTCAATTGTCATCACATTTTTCTGTCATATTGTCTTTATACATTGTATCCTTTATTCAAGTTATGGTTCCTGCAGGTTCTAAATGTTGCACATATTTTTTTTTACTGTCTATAAACTCATTTAAATATGTCTCTAAATTATCGTCTTAAATTTCGCATAAGTTTTCAGTTCACTATTTCTGTTTGAAATCATTTTTTTTCCATAATTACATTCACAACATTCTAAAGGCGGATGTTATTTATTTCAAATTTATTTCTGGTATTATATTCAGAGTTATTTTGTAAAATTGATTGTAATGCATTTTATATCCTTAGTCAGTTTATTGTTCTAAATAAGCCAGTTTTGTTACATTATCATCTGTGATTGTATTATAGGCAACGATATTAGCATTTTTCTACACACAAAAGACAGGTGTCAAAGATAAAATGTTGTTCTAATTTGCTAAAGGCCACATGTATGTAATCTAGAAATTAATATACTGTCTTAAGCTCAAACTCCTATAAAATGGATAAAAACTTCTACCCTTAAGTTCCTCGGACAAACTGCCACTTTTGTAATGTCCAATTAACAGTTGCCAGCAGCTCACCAGTACTTGTCAATAAACAAACCTTTCATAGAGAGGAAATCTAAAAAGCCCATTGGTTGATAGGTGCCATATGTTTTGAAGGTTTTTACTGTGATATAAACCAATCTGATGTAGGTATAGGCTTCATTTTTTTAAGTAAAGTTGAGTCAACTGGGATATGATACAATATATAAGAAACTCAATAAAAAAATATAGCAAAAGAAATGGAGTCTGTACTTAACAACTTTTCAGTTGCCAAGTTGTTCTTCAGTAAATGATGATTTAATATTTCTCGGAGTTCAATATTCATAATGTTTGTCGAGTAATCCTCAAAATAAAACCAGATAAATAGATGTTTATACTAATGAACTAATTAAATAGCAAGTTAAGTTTGAATGAATTGTTCTCACAGTAGATGACATATTCAATAAAAGAGTGCATACATCAAAAAATTGCAAAATGCATTCTACGTCTATTTCTTGTTAATTCACTGTTTTAATAAATATTAATAAGAGCCAACTGACTGCCTGGTTGACAGTGTTTTGTTTGTTATTTCACTGTTTCAATAAATATTAATAAGAGCCAACTGCCTGGTTGACAGTGTTTTGTTTGTTTGTTATTTCAGAAGTCCTGAGTATATTGAATGTGAAGATCCTGTGGACCATAATGGAAATGCCACTGCTAAAGAAGAATTGGGATATGGCTGTGTTGAGGTAATATTTTTTTTTTTTTATATTTCTTTAATAAGCTTGTGCATATTTACCTACTATTCGAGGGGTCAGGAAGAGAGAAAAAGGAAATTATGTTGTTATATTCTGCTACTAGGGCAAGTGTTCTGTAATTTTTAGATGTTCTGAGTATACATAACATTACCAATATGTAAATGACGTTTGCTTACTTCTTGCAACATTAGCTTAATTTTTCTAAACACAACTTTTATATAAAGTCATGTTGTCATGACAGCCATAAAAAGTTTTTTGGAGGAAATTAAATTGTTTTGTGAAATCAACGTTGTGTTGTATTGTGCAAAATTGAATTCATGTTACATATAATTTGTGTGAGTAATTAGATTTCCTTTGTGATAATTCAAGATTTTGTTTAGTTTGTAAATTAAGTTTTTGTTACAAAAATTACGCCATTCATTCAGCATGAAATTGACTAATAAATTACGTCTCATAAACGTTTTTGTGAGTATCTGACATTTAATTATTAAACCAAAATGAAATTGAATCTGAAAAGTTGGATATACATGTATATTTTTAAAATTATTATTTGGTAAAATAACATAAAAAAAAAATATAGAATGAATTAACAATGAAAAACTGGCAATCGTGGGGATAAATAAGCATTTTTTTTAGTTTCACAGAAACTTTAGTATTAACTTAATTAATCTGCTAAGCAAATATTAATGTGAAAATATGACCATATTTTCTTATCCACTTTCTGAAAATGTATATACATAGCCATATTCATATGTCCCTAGTTTTCTCATTGCTATCTTAATTATTATGTTGTCACAGAATAAAAAGTACTCATTATTCAATACGATTTAATGCTTTGATACTTGGTATGTAGGTACCTTGGGTGGACCTCTCCCAGATTTGTTCATTTTGTGATGATATCTTTAATTCTCTAATTTTGATGAATATTTTGTCATTTTTGGTAAAAAATGATATTTTCGACTTCTTGTTAAAAACTGCATATCTAATTGCTTTGATATTATATAAACTACATTTTTTGTTGAAAACAGCAAGTCTGATTGCTTTAATACTATACATATTGTTCATTTTCTGATGATATCTTCAGTTCTTTAATTGAAATGTGCATTGGTAACAGCGGAGCTATCTCAGCCGACAGGCTGCTAGTTTTAATTTTTGGTAAAAAGTGATATTTTTGACTTCTTGTTGAAAACCGTCGTTGAAAAAGTCCAATTGCTTTTACATTACATATATAGGTACTACATGTGGACTTCTTTCAGATTTGTTCATTTCATGTTGATATATTCAATTCTCTAATTTTGATGATTATTTTTTACATTTTTGTAAAAAGTGATATTTTTGACTTCTTGTTGAAACCGCAAGTCTGATTGCTTTTATATTACATATATACGTACTACATGTGGACCTCTTTCAGATTTGTTAATTTCGTGGTGATATCTTCAATTATCTAATTTTGATGATTATTTTTGGTGAAAAGTGATATTTTTGAAGTCAGGTTACTTTGATACTATACATATTGTTCATTTTTTTTGAAAATGAGACTGCCGGCGTGGGAGGATTTTTCAATGAAAATAGAAGTTTTCAAAAAATATTTGATGATTTTGAAATTATGAACCTCAAATAAGCGCCCACCAGCCGTGAAACCGCCCAGGGTGATTTTTCGGATGGGCCAATTTAGGACAGAATCCAGTACTAGTACAATAATAATTAAGATTGCTCCCTCCATAGAAAAACACATGTAATGCACATGGGCACCTCCCAGAAGGCTCCCTAGGTTAGCCACAGTTAACATAATGATTTTCTTGGTTCATTTACGGTAATTGCACTCTGTAGTCCATAGTCCTTTATGGAATGATATTAAAATGTAGAGTTCATATATCAAGGACGAATTATTATAAATGTTTGAACGTTAATACATAGAGAGAGCAAATTAATATGGGAAATGGGCAGTTTCTACAACATATAATTGACATTATTTGATAATTGTTGTCTTTAGTGTACTGGTAGCTAGACATTTTGGGCAAACAAGCTTTCTAATAGTTACTTAGGATTGATAATTACCAAATATTGTTTACTACATGTATATATCATATTCATTAGTCTGAGCAGCTTTTATTAGCTCCACTGTTGACTTTGTCGAGCGGAGCTCATCATATGACTGATTGTCCTTCAACCGTCGTCCACGCCAACTTATTACTTTTTTGACTTCTTCTTGAAAACTACAAGCCTGATTGCTTTGATACCTGATGTATACACATGTATGTATCTTCAATTCTCTAATTTTGATGATTGTCTATTTACTACTAATACCTGATGTTTGTTTCAGTATGGTAATGAAGCATATGAAGATGTTGAATTCACTTCAGTTAGGTGCCATGCATTAAATGGTATTGAATGTTATGGTACAAGGACATTTTTAAGGGACGGTGTCCCATGCATAAAGTAAGTTGTTTTTTTCCTAAACATTTTATTAGTCCTTATGTTTTGACCTCCGTGACCTCAAACTTCATACATACATCATACATGATATTATACATATGCACGTCAATTTGTTTCACGATCTGATTCAAGATGGCCGAATGGCGGCCATTTTTGTGCTAAAAATCATCAAAATCAAGCATTTTTCGGCTGTTTACAGATGGATTTTGTTCAAAATTGATATATACATTACACATTATCAGACCTTGATGCACATCATTTTGTTTTTCAGATAACATTCAAAAAGGACGACTGGTGGCCATTTTGTTTTAATGAATGTGGTTCTAGTGCCATATCTCCGACTTGCTTTGACTGATTATGTTCAAATTTTAAACATTCATAATACATCATGTCATAGATATACGGATGTATTGGTTTGACGATCCTATTAAAAATGACTGAATGGTGGCCATTTTTGTGCTAAAAAATCATCAAAATCAAGCATTTCCCGGCTGTTTACAGATGGATTTTGTTCAAACCTTGTATATACGTTGGACATTATAGGACCTTGATGCACATCATTTTGTTTTACGATCCGATTCAAGATGGCCGAATGGCGGCCATTTTTGTGCTAAAAAAATCATCAAAATCAAGCATTTCTCGGCTGTTTACAGATGGATTTTGTTCAAACTTGATATATACATTATACATTATGGGACCTTGATGCAAATCATTTTGTTTTTCAGATAACATTCAAAAAGGCCGACTGGCGGCCATTTTGTTTTAATGAATGGGCTTCTAGACCCTTATCTCCGACTTGCTTTGACTGATTATGTTCAAATTTTAAACATTCATAATACATCATGTCATAGATATACGGATATATTGGGTTGACGATCCTTTTCAAAGTGCCCAAATGGTGGCTATTTTTGTGCCAAAAAAATCGTCAAATATCAAGCATTTCTTGCATTTATGGATGGATTTTGTAAGTAGGTTACATTACAGGTTCCTGATGCACGTCATTTTATTTTTCAGATTGGATTGAAAATGGCTGACTGGCGGCCATTTTGTTTTAATGATTGGGCTTCTAGAGCCATATCTCTTAAATGCTTTGACTCATTATATTCAAATTTTATATATTCGTTATACATCATATATATATATATGTATTCAAAATGGCTGATTTTGAATGCTGTTCCAGAGCAATATCTCTCAATATGGACAAGTACTTGTTTGATGATCAGATACAAATGTCAATCATTTTAATGTTAAAAAATCATATTCCTGACATGGTTATATTCCAGCTATATTACTATAAACAAAACTATATATCTTAAATTTGATAACTAACGGGGACTGTGCCATGCATGGCTTGTTGTCATTAGAAACTACGAGCTACAACTTTCAACATTGGTCTTCTATTGAAAAGATTAGAAAACATCATTATTTAGGATTTAGTCCATATAGTGCTTTTTTACATCTGTTCCAATCTGTTTTTTTCATTCCCTGTATGGCAGCGTTAAAGAAATACATTATACAAGTGTTAACACATCGAATGCTGATGCCATTGTATACCATTCATTATTGTGGAGGTTTTTAGAGAGTGATGTGTTATGCATACTGTCAAATGAATGTTGTCAAACCAACACCATGACCAACGGTACTCAAAATTGTAAACAGTCATGAAAAAAAGAAATCATCAAATATTGATTATTCCGTCCTTTTTTACCAAATAGGAAAGACTACACGACAATACAATGTAGATTCATGTACTTGCCACAGGATTCAATGTTCAACTCAACTTTTTTTTAATTAATTTTCAGATATACAAATCACTATTTCCTGCCAACATTGCTGTTTTCTGTTCTTCTTGGTTTTCTTGGTGTGGATAGGTTTTGTCTCGGTCATACTGGGACGGCTGTTGGCAAACTACTAACACTGGGAGGACTTGGTATATGGTGGGTTGTTGATATCATTCTTTTAGTTACAGGCGGACTTTTACCTGAAGATGGCAGTAATTGGTGTCCCTATTATTGACAGTACTTGATGAATACACTGCTTTATTGGCAGTCATTGGAGCCATCTCTATTTGCACAAAGTTTCAATTATTCTCAAGTTTTAATGAGTTATTAAGATTATGAAAGATCTGCTAACACATGGTGTTGTGTACAGGACTGATTACCAAATTATTCCAGTGTCTACATCAATGAAATCAACTACTTGTCTTAGACATTCATTGCTATACATTTAGATGCAGGTATAGCAAATAATGACTAATGCCGTAAACATATGTTGACTACCGATAATTTGAGTTATTGTCGCTGTGTTCCTGGAAACAATCTGTGAAAATAAATTACATGCAACAAACCAAAATGTGGTTTTCAGTCAAAATAAATTCATGTACAATTGGAGTGTTGGACTAGATACATGTGTACTGTGTGTTACATCTAGCAACCATTGGAATACTATCAATATGCATAATGTGAGGCACTCCATGGCGTATACACAGAGTATTGAAATATGCATAATGTGAGACACTCCATGGCGTACACACAGAGTATTGAAATATGCATAATGTGAGACACTCCATGGCGTATACACAGAGTATTGATGCATTTCTATAACCTCTGTGTGTGATATCAATCGGGATTTGCTGAAGTATCATTATCAGGATTGCAGTCTTAGTGATTGCTAAGCAAAATGTATATAATTTAAGCACTTTGTAAGTACACATCTTTTTATACTTCTGTATATTTTGTGATTTTTTTCTACTTGTCAACGGGCAAGACAAAGTAGAAGATTAAATGTACATGTATGTCGCCATCTAGTGGCAGGTAAATTATTTCATTTGTTCATGGTCTGATTGTTGTCATTCTGGTACATTATAATAACTTGTTACAATAAAACATTTTGATGCAATAAAGTTAAAATCATAATCCTTTTTATTTATTCACAAAAGTACATTGTCATGGATAGTTATAGCATCATTACACATTTTGATTTTAAATATTTGTTATGAATCCTTTCCAACTTTCAAAGGCACACAAAAAACTATTACATAAAAACAAATCCTATTCATCACTGTACTTAGTCCAAGGACCAATCTGATCAATTGAGTAGTTGAGTTAAGATATATATACAAAGCAAAATTTGATACTTAAACTGTCAACAAACAAGCAGGTCTCTGATTGGTCTAATTAGTAGATATTAGGGTTGGATAGCCAATTGAACACAATCTTGTAAGTAGCTGTGCATTGAGTCTAATAGAGGAGTGACTGCTTTCAATGCCTTAATGCTGGAAGTGAGTATCAAACAAAATGGGTATTAGCCACCTCAATTTCACACTACTGCAAAAATTACACTATTTCCCCCAGACTTGTATAAAGCTCTCACAGAAATACAGTCGTTAAGTGTTCTCAGTTGACCGTTTGTGTAAATGGTGCCCAGTAAATGACAAAAGACTTCTTTTTAATATGATTAGTTACATTTTGAATAATGAAATGACTTTACAATCAAACAGTTGTCTCTTTCAATGATATTCCTTTCATATCTTGGTGGCATTGTTGCTAGAGGGAGTAACTAGGACTGATCTATTGATTAGACGGTTAAGAATAACAGAAACTGGTGATTCGATTGGACCAGGTTATCATTTACAAGTAGTGTACAGTGATGTGTAAAAATTAAATATGAATACAACTGAAGCAATTGGCATAAATACAAGGATTTTACAAAAATAAGAGTAGTGATAGACCAGTGGGTCATGGTTCAAAGTACATAGATATGAAGATTTTTTCATTGCACACTGGAAACCAAATACAAGTAAATTACATGGACGGAATTGGATATGTGAATCAAGGCACAGTATTTGATGTCATCTAGGTGTGTTTACATGATATTTTGATGCAAACATGATGACTGTACTACTTCATTTTGTATATCATGTTTGCTTTTAAGAAGTGCATCTCTAATGGAAGTGAAATTTTACTAGAAGTGAGCATTTCTAATGGAAACATGCTAACATACAAGGTAATGCAAGTAAATAATACAGAATACACGGCATGGTAAAGTATATATAAACTACAAGTTATACTGAATAATAAAAATACTTATTTTAACCATAAATGTGTAAGCGCATGGACAACTAATGGAGAAAATACGGTAGTGGAATTTGAGGAATGTAATTTTTCAGATTCTCTTTCATTTCTACTTGCAGAGTTCATTCATGCATATACAATCCACTGTATAAACCTATAATTAAAATATTATTGCACACGTCACTCATAAATAATTCTACTTATAACTTGCATAGTCTGAAATCATGATTTGCATTGAATAAAATTGTACACGGTGAAAATAATCCCGGAATCACATTTGATATAAGAATTCTTCAACTTGGTAGAAATGCTAGATCAGATCCAATCATCTGCAGTCAATACTAGATTTTATTAAACCAATTTATTTTTGCAGTAGAAACACTGCAGCACATGACAGTGATCATATTAAACTTTCTATAGGCAACCTCCCCCTCCCATAACTCAATACTGTTAGACACACAGTGTAGCTTAGTAACCGTAGAATTTAATGATATAGTACAATGTGAATGTTGACATAATTTCCTTTCCTACTGTAAATAAATTTGCATAGTAAATTCAGCTTCTTAGTTCAGCATAACATCTTTAGTTCAGTTTAGCTATTTCTGTAGCTAATATATTAACTTAAGGTTTTTTTCTGTAAAATATTCTTACAAACTGACAATCCTTAAAGATAGTGCAGGGATGGATCTGGAATTTTATTGTACCTAGTTTGTTTTCATGTAAAAAAACCCAACAGAATTATACAAATCTGCAACTCAATGAACCCCTGTGTATTGTGCATGTGCATATGTACGGGGCATACTGGTATATTTTATATCACCATCAAAAACTAGGAAATAGTACCAAAAAAAAAACGAATGAGATAAAACTGAAGAAATTAATCTAATATAAATAGGTTTTGAACAAATGCATCTGAGGTAATAAAATTGATTGAGAGAAGTTTCTTTCATTATTAAATGTCAAATGTTGTTTAAAACATGTTTACAAAAGTTTTATTTTTGTCATCTAAAAATACAGGATTATCATAGAAAGTAGACAAGTATTACAATATGAATGTCTATTGGTGGTTATAGAGACCCAACTATAAACCAATCATTTTAATGAGTGTCGATCTGTGACAATAGCAAAGTACTTGTCATGACAATGAACTGGTAGTCTCTTTGTATACATCTTTTTCAACAGAAACTACAACAGTAGAAGTGGACTGAAAGTAATCCTTTTGTGGTTCGCCTCTATGCGTTGGCAGAAAAGTCTTTTCAATTGTACACACTCAGCAATATATGACAGGAAAATTATATTTTTTTTTTGTATGGTCACTATTTTGAAGTAAGGTAGTTGTGACAGTGTACACTACCAATAATAATTTTTTACATTGCGATGTGATTAACATTGTTGTTGGTTGTGCAGGAATGAATTGATTGAGTTTGGTACAGTCTTGTTTCTGTAACGAATACTAGTGCACCAATGACCATTCACAAAGTAACATTGCTAGGGTGACCAGATCTCTAGCCTGACCTCTCTGACCTTCAATTAAACTGGCATGAACAAAGGTTGAATGAATGATATAGCAACAAAAGCCACAGGTAGTCTATATAATCATTACAATTCTAGAGTTGCTTTCACATTCAAAACATTGACGTTTTGAATTTAATCTGGTCAAGCAATAATAAAGCCCACCAGCTAAATGTCATTCTGAGCTCACAGTTAAGATATAACAATTGGCCATTCCCAAGACTCACTATGCAGTCTGTGATTTTATCACAACTTGTTTATGTATAAACATAGCAACAAATGAGGAAAAACAAATTGTATTTGAGATCAGTGTCAACTTGTGTGCATAGCTTATTACTTCATGCAGGCATGCAATCACACACTCCAATAATATGTTAAATTCTTTGAAAATACACATTTAATTTACAAGTAAATTGCATAGGCACATATAGTTATAAAACAAGTCTGGCAGTGCTGGCTTTGTAGGAATACTTCCATGGATTGTGTTTTAGGAATGGTTCTTGTGAAGATGCTAACACCTGGGTTTTTGTTTCATGGGGTACCTCTGGTGGTTTAAACCACTCTGTTGTTGTTGTGTCTAATTTTGTCGAGCCAGCTTTTCCTTCTGAGTGTATTCGTGGAAATCTTCGCCTTGTAGGAGGATTTTTGCAATGTCTTGTCTGGTATGAATTGTAATAATTTGTATCACTGAAAAAGTCTTTTTTATCCCAGGATATTAGTTGCTTAGAGTAGTGTTGTCTTTCTTCTGGTGGAAGTAGCTTTTTTCCTAATCCCTAGATAAACAACAAGACAAATGTATTAGTGAGCGTTATAATGTATATAACTGTATGATTATTGTAAACTACTTGATTTTCTCTGCTAGGAATTTCCATGATTTGATGGCCCTTGAGAAAACAAAATTTCATGAAAGTTGTTCACACTCTGTCGTAAAACACCAGATCTGTTTTCACAGCTACAGAATTCCATGACTTTCAAAATTCACGAAAATTAGTCTCTCAAAAAATGTAAATGGTTTACAGTATAAGGTGAGCCATTTCTACTTGCTATCTGTAATGTTTGCATGTTACTAGTTGAAAAAGTTTATCAGATGTTATAATAATTGTTCTCATTAACATCATTACTTTTCAAATATACCAAATATAATAGGTATTTCCAGTTAAATCTTTTAATTATACTGCGATTCAATAAAATTATACAAGAAGCAAGTGGGGAATGGGTTTTCACTGGAATTAGTAATTTGAAAACACAGCCATAACACAAACATAAATCAGAGATGTTAGTCTATGATTAAATCAGTTTGTCTACAAGTTACACACTAACGATGTCGCTAGCAACAGTACTATCCCACAGCTTTAACATGTCAGACTTGGGTCTTAGTGTTAAAGGAATGAATTGCTGTCAACAGTAAATCATTTGTATTGTAGTGGAGGTTACATGGTGTATACAATATAGGTGACTGTATTGTGTATAGTTGCCATGGATCAGTGTTCACTATAACACATTTGAATGCCACATGATATTCAACCTATAATTAGGGGCAACAAATTTATCACAATTCTTTGTTTTAAAAATTTTTATTTTTTTGGAGTCAAACTGCCTAAAAAATTCAAAAATGGAAGTTTTTTGAGTAATTTCTACGTTAAAAACATAACCTCAGAAAAAATAATAATAATCATCAAAATGTTCAAAATAAGTACCCACCTAACAAGTACCATATGTAAACAAAAAAATGAGATATGGTGAGAACTTTTTACCACAGAAACCAAAGTTAAATGACTCATAGATGGTTGACCTGTGTTTTGTACAAAGGTGGTGACAATATTTTTTTATCTAGGTTTAGAGACAGCAGCATAATATAAAACCATAGTGTAAACTTCAAGGAAATCAGGTGTTTTAATGGCAGCCTTAACTTTGAACCTTAACCTTAACTTTGAAAAAATGTAGTAGTAAAAATTTATTCTAATCTGGAATCAAACTAAGACAAATCAACTTGATCACTTTCAGCATAATCTGCTGTTTCCATAATTTATCAACAATTTTTTAAATTAGCAAATATTCGAACTGAAATTTCACTAGAAATCAAAATTTATTGCGTGAGAATTACCAAAGACAACCAGCAATGCAACAACTAACACACTTTATTTTTAGAATCTCATTGTCTGCAATTTCCATTATGTCAATCAAATGTAAGAAATTTCCATTAACTCTTGCCAATTCTATGCGTGTGGAATGATGGATAATGTGATAAATGTGCATGCAATGAGTACAATGCTCCGGTGAGGCCGACTGACTGAATGGTAATCAGTAAAAAAAATAATTTTGTTGTTATGGTTTTCATTTCTTTTATTATAATCACATATGAATACATTGTGACTGCAGGGCTAAAGGAGAAAGGAATTGTCCATTTGGCAATTTAGTATTCATTTATAATGTGTATGCATAGAGTATGTCAACACTGAGAAAAAAAATAATCAATACATTTATACTTACATGACCAAAATAGACACCATGATCCTGAAAAGAATGTCTGTTGTCATGGAGAGAAAATGGATTTTCATCTTCGTATGTAACCTGGCAAGGAAAGAAATACATATGAGAATTGTGTGAGGAATTCACTAGAGCAATGTGCATGTATATGGTAGTGTTGCATATTCTTACTCAACATTTATGGATCACAGACACAAATATATTCTGACATAAATTGCTGATAATAAATCTCTAATAAGGGGGATTATATCACATTTTGATCACAGATTGTTAAAACTATACATGTTGGTTCTTTCATTATTTTCTCTATTTTCAACTTTTACTTTTAAATATAATTGCCATGGTTACACGAACTATGATTGTTCACTTTCTTTTTGAAAAACACTACAAATAAACATTGGTAATGCCATCGAGAACTTGCTTATAGCTAATATTATGTTGTTCTCCCTGAGTATCTATTCAAAACAGCTAAATGTTTTTGACAATGACCTTTTAGCAGTAGCATATAAAAAGGTAGTAGAACTATTATAAGATTTGTTAGAGAACACTAAACAAATGTAAACATACTTAAGGTGAGCAATCCCATAATGCATTGTAATCTGAAACTGCTACTCTTATGAAAGGATTTTTGTCAGGGTTCATACGACATGAAATGAATATGGTGTAACCAAGGCAACAACTGACACTATAACACTATAAAGTGGGTACCCATTACTTACTCTGTCATTATATGACAATCACCCCTCCCCCCCATTAAGCAATGTTGGGTTTACCCTTACTGAACACAACAGGTGAATAAATGCAGTATTGTATTTGTGTGGCAATCAAACAGTAATGAGTAAAAGTGTGATAACCTGAATTCACTGTGTGTTATTCTTGTAAGTGAGTGGCTCACACATGATTACACAATTTATTTGCAGTCAGTGAATAAGATGTTCATGCTTTCAATAACTATTTATTGGTACGTTTTTTTTTTTCTTGTAACCAAGTAAACAGATTCAATACAGATTCAAGTTGTCAGCAAATACACCTGCTGCACCAAACAAACATTTTGTAATGCTAAGCTTACCCGGGTCCAACTATTGAAAGGAGACGGTGGTCGAGCTGGTCTACACGAAGATTCTGGTTTGAATGTTGCAGTCAGCATTTCCCCGGTACTTGTTGATGTGTCGCGAAACAAAGGTGCTGACTGGAATCCCCTTGTTTGAAACTAGAATGTAAAGAAATACACTACATTTAATAGTGTCACAGTTGAAAAGAAGTATTTTCACTTCAAAACACTTGTTACTAATGCTACAATGACGGTGGAATTTGATACAATAGATGTAAATGAAGCATAGACACTATTGTAAAGCTTAGTGACATCTGAAGATTTATGTACCCACCAGCCAAAACTAATTACGTTAGCATCTTAATTAATAAAGACCAAACAATTACAATCAAATACATCCTGTCTGTTTGAAAAGTGAGTAGGTCAGAGTTCAGACACATCAACTTTATGAAATTTCATCCCTTCAGACTTCATCATGGTTTTTATTACAAATTCATTATACTGGTATCTATCAATGAAGCTAAACGTACATCATTTTGCAAAAACTAGGATATATTACAAGGCTTATATCTGGATTATCTATTAGATATTGTTCTTGCTTCAGTGAAAATAATAGCGGTTACACTACTTATGTTGTGAATTCCAATTTGTAAATTGACAATAATTTATTTTTATTATTATACAACTAAATCATCATAGGATATATAGGATATAGTGTGGTAAAACATTAACCCCAAAACATACACAGTAAATTAATTGAATTAAAATGACAATAATTGCATTGACAAGTGTGATGTTTTTTATTAATAATAATAAATGACAGATAAATTATTCTTTAAATAATGAGGTATTTATATAAAATTAACCGCACTCAACTGTTTTTTGTCACCATCGTCATAAATCTGTGTTATCTCTTCATTTATTGCTTTTATAAACTCCCATTACAGTTCATAAATGCATGTATTGATTTCGATTAAAAGTGGCAGTCGTGGGTACTGAGGCACGTCACGCCATCATACCATTCGTGTCCGTAGATCGAATTAAATAAATTAATAAATAAATGGTTATAATTAGTCTTCATTATACTCACCCAGTTGCCATCAGTTGACGTAGAAGGAGCAAACAGCCTTCCTTTTGGCATGGTCAGTTTTTTGACAACTCAAAGAATACAAATTACGATGTCTTAAAAACACAGTTTTCGCTGTTTGGAGCCCGTCGAACAACTGCGTTCTATAATTCGAACAAACTTTTTGGTGCATATACTAGTAATCCTGGCAGTGCTAGAGGAAGACTGTGCAAATTCATTAAATGGAGACAAAAATACAGTCCATGTGCAGAGCGAAGTACACCATACGCACTGCAAGTAACAGTGTATTCAGTCTTGCAGCGAATCGACAGGTTGTTACATGGTTGTCGGCAGATCACATGAACCGATGTACACCTACGTCCCGTAACTTCTCGAACCTACGCGTAACAATATATTCCCTGATTAATATCCCGATGTGGTATTTCTGAACTGTTTCGGGTCGCCTGTATATCTGCATTTATTTGAACAACTTATAGTATAAAGTTGTTTTGGGTAAAACTGTGTATTAAATTGTAGAAAAAAATCCCATACGCGGATTGATTTTTTTCTCTCCAGTTGCAGTGCTGGTAACTGTTGATACTCTGTATCCAAGGGTAACACATAGTGCGCCATCAACGCCCACAACATCTACTAGCAACTCAAACAAGGGATCGGAATACAAAGAAATGTGCGCCCGTTCATTACAATTATAGTATACAGGCGGCGTATTTTAGATTGTATGACATTATTTAAATGTTGCTTGTGTTGACTACGACCTTAATATTCACAAATTTGTGCAAATTAATGACAATAAATAACATGCTAATGAGACTACATTTCATAGTGAACCATTTAATATAGGCAGTATTTTATGCATTGGATTTCTCATTAGTGAATACTTGGTCTTCACAGTACAGTGTCGCTGCTAAGCCTTATAAATTCCAATTGAGTAATTGTCATACTAATCTTCTCTACAACAAGTTTACTGTAAAACGCTTTGATATAGCTATATACATACAATTTTAACGAATTTGACTCAAACTATCAGAATCTTAATTTAACTAAAGTGTCATCAATTCGCATTGTGAGAATATTTTTTTTTTTAAATTAGCAACATCTTGAATTAGGGAAATTACAGATAGCTAAAATAACATTACTCAGGTTCGTGGCTTAGCCATTGTCACTGCACAAAATGTCGTATGGCATAAATACTTTTACCCTAATTTGTAATTGTTATCATTTTATTTTCTAATGCTATTCTATATATATTTGCTGATTATATTTTCTTCTGTATATGTATGTGGAAGGTTCTTTTTATGTTATAGGTGCTGGCCATCCATGCCACTCATGCAACCCATGTCACCCATGCCACCCATGTCATCCATGCCACCCATGCAACCCATGTCACCCATGCCACCCATGTCACCCATGCCACCCATGTCACCCATGCCACCCATTACTGACTTGTGTCGAAGTTCAATATATATATATAAACAAGTACTATTGTATGTACATATGTACACAACTAGACAAGCAGTAAACATTAGTTCATTCAAACACACCATTAATTATAGACGCAATACATTTGACCGAAGTACTCTTAAAGTTGTATTGTCAGCAAAACTAAACTAGGTTTTAGCTAAACTTTTTTTAGTTTTGATAACTTAGCCGAAGGCTTCAATTCAAACACAATTGTCGACAAAACAACAGAGAAATTATCATGTTTCAACCCCAAAACGTTGATAAATGTTGACATTCTCTGTGTATTTTGGAACACATTAAAAATAAACAAAGATTGACTTGGCTTAATTGACAAATAATCTTTAACTTCATTTTCTATTTTTCCTATTGCAAACTTTCAAGGTTTCTTACGAATTTTTGCAGTGTAAAATGTAAAAAATATTATATAACGATATTATTGTAAAAATATAAATATATTAATTATAATGTAGAACAATTATTTGTGTCTCCTTTATTTCCTTGAACAATACTAAATAAAACTAAAATAAAATTAACTAATTTTGGTAGAATTGATATGCAAATGTGCTCATTCTTCAATAATCCAGTACAGCAGCAGACGAATTAAAATCGCGCATTGTGGTCGACTTCAAGCCAACATTTTCGACTTCTCCAGCCACCTTTTTTGACTTTCTGGCCAAATTGTTTGCTTTCACAGCCAACATTTTTGACTTCATCCAACTTTTCGACATTCCAGTCAACTTTTTTGAGTTCCCACAACTTTTTGCGACTTCTCAGCCAACTATTTTGACTTTACTTCCAACTGTGTGTGTATGACCTAATTAATTCATATCAATGAAAAACTTACTTAAACTTTAATATATGTGTGAGTGCATCTTTCAATAAAAATACACACTTTTTGGCAGCAAACATAGCAGTATTTGTTCTCTGAAGTGCGTAGATGTATACAGGTAATTGAAAATAATTCGGGTGAATTAACAAACTGTTTCTCGCGAAATTTACATTTTGCATTCCGTATTTTTGTAATAGAATTGAATGTTATTTTAAAAACAACCCAGTATGGCAGCCACATTATCTACGGTTAGCAAGATATTTGTCAACTATTTAGAAAACCCTACTATCCATCCAACTATTTCGACTTCCCAGCTAACTTTGACAACTTTGCAACCAATTTCCGCCCAGTTTTTATTTCGATGTGAGCTACCCTCCGCTAACGTGTTTTTCGACTTTCCCGAGGCCTAGCTGTTTTTCGACTACCCAGCCATATCCCTTAGTTTTCTAAGGTCTATGACCCAGCTATCCTCGCAACCAATTTTTGACTTTCCGTCCAATTTTTCAACTGTGTGGCTAGCTTCTGCTACTTTCAACCCAGTTTCGATTTTTCACCAAACTTTGTCGACTTCTCATCTAACTTCTGAAACTTTGCAAACATTGTTTCGGCTTTTCATCCAAGTTCACAGTTCCAATCATCAAACCAGATGCTAACTTCGTTATAATTTATTTATTTCAATAGTATTGATATACGCATGTGATATACAATCTTCACTTAAAGGGCGGCGGTCGCACTGAGCGTGTTCGATTTTCAAAGTATTTTTCACGCGCTGTGTACGTCGCTATGAGTCCCATATCAAACAGGACACGGCGCGGCGACTACTGCCTTTAAAAGAAATTCAGTATGCATGAATAACTTCTGGATGTTCAAACAAAAAGAAGGGGACATCTAGCCCAAAAAGCTGTGGTAAAAAATGTTGATACCATTTGGAATCAGTGTATTAAACTCAGTTATTATTTTGAATTCCATCTGTTTTCTAATGGTATCTTTCTTCGAAAATATGTTATGTAGTCTTTTGAATTGAAAATGAGTGATATTGTGACAGTGTTCAGCAACAAGTGTTATGGTGTATATATAAATGTGTTTGTGTAGTTCGTTAAAGTTTTCCGTTATAAAGCATGTGACGTTTTTTTGCATCTGAGGACGTATTGAGATCACGTGTTGAAAATGTCATGTGACCAGTGATTCTATCATCTGAGCAGAACATGAATTTGTATTTCTTGCACGATAGATGTGGCATTAATCCAATCTTTTATTGTGGTTCTGGCCCGAGCTAGTAGTTGCTTTATAACAGATGATTGGTGATAGCTGACATTAGGAATTTATGTGAATACCTCCTTTGTAGTCTTACAGGATTGTACAATACGGCATTGTTTATGCAAATCAGCTGATAGATTGGGTAGTGCAAGTGTGTAATAACGACGAACGGTATTCTGTTTTTAACTTGTTTGGGTGGTTGGTTTCTGTTTGGTGGACAGATACGGCTGGTGTGACGAAACCGCCGACTTTCTTGATAGCGATGTTGATAACGTTTTTTTTTTTTTTATAGTTTCTTACAGTGAAATGTTTTGTCTTAGTGTGGTAAAATTCGTCTATTGAACAGATGCGTTTATAACACAGTGCTTGGCTCCATGGAATTAGTTTGTGAAAATCTTGTGAATGGCATGAATTGAACCACAAGTACATAGGTTTGTTGTACACAGTAATATTGAGTTCGTTGTCTTTAATTTGAAATGTGTCAAGAAATGCAAGTTTTGAACTTGCAATGGATTGAGTTACAATATTTGTGAAAGTCAAAGTTGTTCCAAGTCATGTGACCATAACAATTTGTCGTCATCTTTATAGTGTATCCAATTTGTTGGTATGTGTGTACAGAATGTGTTCTTCATGTGTACTTGTCCTACCTGTACCTATAGTGTGTATGTTTATGTTTGCGCCACTATGCCACCCATGGATGTACCAATGATTTGTTAGTTGTTGAATTGTAAAAAAAAATCTTGTGTAAAATTAAATTCAACTCTTCATGATTAATAGTGATGATGCTATATTTATCCATCAATTCTCTAAGAGATTTTAATACCATATTCATGCGGGATGTTGGTGTAAAGGAAGGCGATTTGGTACTTGGTGACAAGCATAGCGCCCTCTATCGGTAAAATGTATTTTATATCTTCAATAAGTGATGGGTGGTATGTTTCAAATATGATAGCAGTATTTGTATGATGGGTTGTCAATGCAAGTCAACCAGATTCGCCAGCGAGGAAAAATAAACCATAGTGGACATTTTTCGTGCAGTTTGGGCAGGTCATAGAATTTCTCGGAAGTTGGTTTCTTTGAGATTACTGTATTTTCTTTAATTCCTTGATAACAATGACAATGTATCAGTCTATATCCATGACAATGTATCAGTCTATTATCTATGACAATGTATCAGTCTATATCTTATGACAATGTATCAGTCTATATCCATAACAATGTGTCAGTCTATAGACATAACAATGTATCAGTCTATATCCATAACAATGTATCAGTCTATATCCATGACAATGTATCAGTCTATATCCATAAAAATGTATCAGTCTATATCCATGACAATGTATCAGTCTATATCTATGACAATGTATCAGTCTATATTCATGACAATATATCAGTCTATATATATCCATGACAATGTATCAGTCTATATATATCTATGACAATGTATCAGTCTATATCCATGACAATGTATCAGTCTATATATATATATCCATGACAATGTATCAGTCTATATATATCTATGACAATGTATAAGTCTATGTCCATGACAATGTATCAGTCTATATCCATGACAATGTATCAGTCTATATCCATAACAATGTATCAGTCTATATCCATGACAATGTATCAGTCTATATATATCTATGACAATGTATCAGTCTATATATATATCCATGACAATGTATCAGTCTGTATATATCCATAACAATGTATCAGTCTGTATATATCCATGACAATATATCAGTCTATATCCATGACAATATATCAGTCTATATATATCCATAACAATGTATCAGTCTATATCCATGACAATATATCAGTCTATATATATCCATAACAATGTATCAGTCTATATCCATGACAATGTATCAGTCTATATATATATCCATAACAATGTATCAGTCTGTATATATCCATAACAATGTATCAGTCTGTATATATCCATGACAATATATCAGTCTATATCCATGACAATATATCAGTCTATATATATCCATAACAATGTATCAGTCTGTATATATCCATAACAATGTATCAGTCTATATCCATGACAATGTATCAGTCTATATATATATCCATAACAATGTATCAGTCTATATATATATATCCATAACAATATATCAGTCTATATATATACATGTATCCATAACAATGTATCAGTCTATATATATATATATATCCATAACAATGTATCAGTCTATATATATATCCATAACAATGTATCAGTCTATATATATCCATAACAATGTATCAGTCTATATATATATCCATAACAATGTATCAGTGTCTATATATATATATCCATAACAATGTATCAGTCTATATATATATCCATAACAATATGTCAGTCTATATATATATATATCCATAACAATGTATCAGTCTATATATATCCACGACAATGTATCAGTCTATATATATATATACATGCATGACAATATATCAGTCTATATCCACGACAATGTATCAGTCTATATATATATATATGCATAACAATGTATCAGTCTGTATATATATATAACAATGTATCAGTCTATATATATATATATAACAATGTATCAGTCTATATATATATATATCCATAACAATGTATCAGTCTATATATATATATATATCCATAACAATGTATCAGTCTATATATATCCATGACAATGTATCAGTCTATATATATATATACATAACAATATATCAGTATATATCCACGACAATGTATCAGTCTATATATATACATGCATGACAATATATCAGTCTATATCCATAACAATGTATCAGTCTGTATACATAACAATGTATCAGTCTATATCCATAACAATGTATCAGTCTATATACATAACAATGTATCAGTCTATATCCATAACAATGTGTCAGTCTATATACATAACAATGTATGAGTCT